CAAACCGGCCCCGCCCGCCAGGGGGCTTACCCTGGCGAGCCGCGTGCCAGAGGTTGCCGACCCCTGGTGTAACGCCTACTGGGTCCTTGTCGCCCTCTAGTGGCTCAGCATCTTTTACTGGCCCAACTTCTGCTGTTGACAGAGGCGAGTTTTGGCACTTACCCTGAGCTCCTGAAGGGGCCTGAAGCAGAGCTCCGTGCAAGCCCGAAAGCTCGTCTCTTCCACTAGCAATAAAAGACATGACCTCACCCACCCGATCTCCCAGCCCTGGGTGAGTTTTGCTAAAGCCAAGGGGGTGGTTTTGCCCAACCCTCACCTGCCCAGGAAAGGTCCCGAGTCCCCCGTCACCATGTCTTGGATCAAGAAGAAGGGATACAATACTGCGGGAAAGAGAAGAATGTCAAAGTTCATCATTTTAACTGTGCACCTCGCCCCAAAGAGAGCATGACACCCCCAGGGGTTGCTGCCTGCAGTCAGAAACCAGTATTGAACAGGCGAGGCCATCCTGTCCGGCCCATCTGGCTACGTGGAAGGGGATCCCGGTGACATCCTGGCTGGAGGAAAGGGGGGAGTTCTCGCTAGATCCCAGCTCGATGGGAATGGAAGAGGGGAACCCAGCTAGGTGGGAAGTGGGGGAGAAGAGAACCACTGGGCTAAGGGGAAGCTGCGGTGGCCTTGCTCCATGGAGGGCTCTGAGAACACAGAGATCAGCAGGCTGCATCCGAGTCCAGCCCCACGACTCTAAGACACTGGAATAGCCAAACCGAGGCCGATTTCTGGGCAGCTCAGGACATCCACAGTCAGGCCTTGGATCACAACCAAGAATCAAGGCTCAGATCAGAATCAAGCCAGGATCTAGCCGGGATCCCCTCCTGCCCCCCGTCTACTCCCGAATCTCCTGGACTCCAGCAGTGACAGCCAGCAGCCGCCGCCGCTGCAAAAGGGTCAAGCTAGTGTCCATGCCAGACAAGCTAAGTGGGGTTTTACCAGCAGGGTCCTGTTCAATCGGTCTCTGGGCCTCAGCCAGGATCTGGTCCCCTGTGCGGACACCTTCATCTGCTTCTCCTTACCATCGTTAAAGAAGAAACAGGGCATCTCTGGGTTCTTGTGGATGCAGTCGAAGTACCGCTTGTTCTGTTTGGTGGTGTACTTCAGGGTCTTGGTGATGTCAAAGGCCAGCCTCTTGCCCGGGGGGCAGCCAATAAAGATTGGCACCATGGCATAGCCCTGCAGGGGAGGGGAGGGGGCGAGAAAAAGACACACTCGTTCACTCTGGAGTTTGTAAGGTGCCCCAGGGATGGTCGTGGGGGGTCTAATGCATACAGCCAAACGCTGGAATTCCAATCTGTGGAATGCAACCAATGCTCCTGTCGGCTTATTAAGGTACCACTCCCCCAATACTGACCCATTCCCAGTGGCTACTGCCTGCTCCAGTGGGGCAGAGTTAAGGGAACCTTGGGGGGGGGGGGTAGTTAGCTCTCTCCACATTTGGAAAGAGCGTGAGATAGATAGCTAGATAGAGGGGGTGTATGGTGATAGATAGATTAGATAGAGGGGGTGTATGGTGATAGATAGAGGGGGTGGATGGGGATAGATAGATAGAGGGGGTGGATGCTGATAGATAGATATATAGATTAGATAGATGGAGGGGGTGTACGGGGATAGGTTAGATAGAGGGGGTGGATGGGGATAGATAGATTAGATGATATTATTGCTCCATTATCCCAAACAAAATGTTAATAGAGTCTCATTAATTTGCCTTTCCCAGGGGTTCAGACCCAATAGTTACCTGGAGTTTTGGGCCGGCCGCTGTGTAGTGGTAACAATTTGTTGCCGCATTTATAACCTGGAATGTTTAAATCGAAAATGAAGGTCTGTTAGGACCAAACAAAGGAAAAGTCCATCGTCCTGTCACTGACAAGAGGAGTCAAAGGTCACTGGGCCGTCCCGCTGGATCAGCCCACTAGCCCATGGAGTCCGGGATCCTGCCTCTTGCTGTGTTTGCTCACATCACTGCCCCGTCTCGCCTGATGTCCCGGCTGCTGCCCTGGCAGATCAGACCACGGAGCCGGCCCACTCCCAGCAATGTCCAATACTACCTGTTCTCCGGAGCAAACACATGGTGGGAACCTTCAGGATCCTTGTTCTGACCTACGCTGGGGCTGAAGCTGTGCAGGTGCAGAGAACCACAGAAGCAGCCCGACAGCCCCCGTACTCCTGAACTGAGCCGATCTCAATGCAGGAAAGAATCTGCGGCTTTCACTGGACTGTAATCGGCCTGTGGAACTCCTTGCCACAGGATGTCATTGAGGAGAAGAACTAAGCCAGACTGACCGTACATATGGATAACGAGGTCACCCAGCGTTATCATCGCTAATGCTAACAGAGATCTGGAAGAAGGGCTATTAAACCTTTTAATCCAATTGCCAGTGACGAGGGGTCAGCGTGAGACCTAATGTGGGGGACAGATTATCCTGTGCCTGCTACGGCTGGTTTCTTACACCTTCCTCTGCTCTGGCCGCTGCCAGACACAGGCTGTGACGAAGCGGGACCCTTCTGTAATAGTGTTCTCATCGATGTGCATGGCAAGGACTTACCTGACAGAGCTGGAGACATGGAGGTGTTTGTGTCACATTTCTGTCTGGGGTGGGACCCGGAGGTCGTTAAAGGACGGGCTGATCCCTTCCCAGATCAATAGAGAAGAGACAACGGGAACCCCAACGACTGAACACCTAGGAACCGGGATGCCAGGCAGGTGGAACATGTGAACTCAGCAGGGATCTGCAGGAGGACAATGGCTCAGGAGGGGACAGGAGGCTGGAATAGGAGAGGCGGGTGAGGGGCTCACCTGGGACTGACAGACAAAGGGACAGAGACTAAGAGGATGGCTCAGGGGAGTTGTGGCTTGGCCAGGATGGACTATATCTCAATCTTTGCTTCTCTGTAACCCAAGGTGCTGGGTTCCAGGTGGCTAATGAACCCAGGCCGCCTGGCGTCACTGTGAGCACCTGCCGAGGTGCACAGGTCCCTGCAGAGCGTACGAGTCTCTGACCAGGAGTCAGTCTCAGTTGGACTTGCCAGCAGAGCTCCGGGGTGAGGCAGGAGGGCTGGAGCCCAGACACCATGTGGCCTCCACTGAATGCAGAATGGGACCCTCTGGGCATCTGGCCCATTGACGGGAGTCCTCTAAGGGACTGTTTAAAAGCTGGGGCATAGCACAGAGCCTGGCTCCTAGAAGGCAGCATGGCCTAGTGGACAGAGCACAGGGCTGGCACCAGGAGCGCTGGAACCTCGGTAGACGTTTGTAAATAAACAGGATTGTACCATCGTCAATTTCTCCTTCCGCTGGAAAGAAGCCGCAAGCCCCCAGATTTTGGCTAACCGCTCAGGGCAGAAGGGACACCAATATCATTGCTCCGTGTCTAAGTATCGAGGGCTAGGTTCTTACGTCACTTACACCATGGAAGTCAGTGGATTTACTCTGCATCGGCAGAGCACTAACGGAGCCCTGTGGCCATTACAGCAGTGGGGGTTCTGAGGGCGGCTTAAATCAGGAGCAATTCCAGTGACATCAGGCTCAATCTGGTGTCAGTTCAGAATCAGACCTCTTTGTGTGGCGAGCCAGTGTAAACCTATGTTATATAGCCAGATCTCACAGATGATCTGAGGGCGAATTGCTTCTATACCGGGGCTGTCTCGAGGCTGGGCTCTGTCTCTTCCTCCGATGTTGGATAGAACCAGAACCTTCAGGGAGGGACTTGTCTCAGCGTGAGACCTGTCTCCAGCCAAGGTGGTGAGGCAATCTCAGTCCCTCGGCCTAATTTAACGAGCTCGTTAGGGAGGGACTTTGAATGGCCTCCTCTTATAGATTTGTCAGAAGCTTCTCCTTCCAGGCGCAGGGAGTTGTCAGCATGTTTGCTTTGAATCAGAGGGCCCGATCCTTGGGCTGGGCCATGCGGTGCGCAGTGGAGGGTGTGAAGAACAGGCGGGGAAGTCTTTCTGCTCTCCCCAATCCTACCAGCGGCTGGCGCTCTGACGCAGCTCTAGATTACGCTGGCCACCCTCTCCTGCCCACAGCCCTCGCTCTCAGGCCTGACAGCTGAGAGCTCCCCTTCTGGGGGGGCTCTCAGTGGCCGATATACAGCATCTGGCCCGATGTATCTTGCACTAACATGCAGCACTGTCTTTATCTGGAGCTACTGGGCCAGGTCCCCAGTTGGTATAAATCGATACAACTCCATTGGATATCACCCTAGCCGAAACAATTTTGAGAACATGAATCAACTCGGAAATAATTCCATCTGCAGAGTGATCCACTGCTATCTGGCCTGTGATCTGAGGTGTCGCTCCCAGCCCCGCATTCCCGCACAAGGAAAAACTCTCCTAGCCGCCTTGTTAACCCTTTGGCAGATTTTCCCAGCACGGCATCCGTTACCACCCAGGGACGTGCCTGATGAAACTAGTTGTGCCGAGGAGCTAATAACGTGGTGGCTCTGTCCTCGCTCTCGAGTACCTTGCTGGGCGACAGTCCAGCCCTTGAGCCTACCTTTAAAGCCATTGAACTCTTCAGAAGGTTCGTCCCACTCAGCTCTTGTTTCGGGTACCGTCCGGTGTCACTGATGGTCACCTGGTGGGGAGAATTTGCAGGGTGCTGGTCAGGCTGGCTCCGTAACTGAGGAAGAAAGGGTCTGATCCAACTCCCTTTGGGCACTGGGAGAAGCATTGGGCTCCTGAATAAAGGTCAGAGGTTTATCAACATTTGGGGCCTTGCTTCTCCTGAAGCATAAAGGGGCCTTCAAGTGAGCAGGGACAATCTGAGAACCACCCCCTACGCAGGGTGCCTTTACTGGCCAGCACAGAGCTGCTCTTTGGGGTCTGCACACTCCCTGCTCCCAGCCCCCAGTGTAGGGAGCAGATCGGCGGCGTGGATGGAGGGTGCGGCTGCCCCCTGTCCGGGTTCTCCCAGGATTGGCCCTTTTTTGAGGCAGCCGTTCCAGATGAAAGGGTTTGGTTTTTTGTTTGCTCTGGCCACACCCCGATCCGCCACACCCCGATCCGCCCCCAGGGCCAAGAGGGGGCGGATCGGGGTGTGGCCAGAGCGCACTGCGCTGTGGCTATTCCCTGCCCCCCAGGGCCCACAGGGGGCGGATCGGGGTGTGGTCAGAGCACACTGAGCTGTGGCTATTCCCTGCCCCCCAGGGCCGATAGAGGGTGGATCAGGGTGTGGTCAGAGCACACTGCACTGTGGCTAGTCCCTGCCCCCCAGGGCTGACAGGGGGCGGATCGGGGTGTGGTCAGAGCGCACTGCGCTGTGGCTATTCCCTGCCCCCCAGGGCCCGTAGGGGGCGGATCAGGGTGTGGTCAGAGCACATTGCGTTGTGGCTATTCCCTGCCCCCCAGGGCTGACAGGGGGCGGATCGGGGTGTGGTCAGAGCGCACTGCGCTGTGGCTAGTCCCTGCCCCCCCAGGGCCGACAGGGGGCAGATCGGGGCTATGGCTGGAGCGCACTGCCCTGTGGCTATTCCCTGCTCCATAAGAGACAGAGCAGCCCTGAAGATGGGGACCAGTGGAAGCATTTCATCATTCCTCTGTCGTGGATTGATCCAGGACTGATGGCAGAGCTGTGCAAGGGGGTGCCTAGGCCTGGAAGAGCAGGGCTGGCTGCAGGTGAGGACTGAAGGACACGGGCAGAGCTCTGGGACTGTTGAAGAGGAATTTCAGGTTCACAGGAAGTTCCGTGATTTCAACCTTTCTGCCATTCCGGAACTAAACCGAAAACATTCACAATTTCATTTTCATCGAAATGTTTCATTCCCATAAAATCAAAACGGT